AAGCAAAAAAAGAATTGATTTGCTTGAAAGTTAACGTGTTATTTGTCATTCAATTATTGATGGAAGGATTGTTTTGGTACCAAAAATGAAAATTCAAGGATAAATTTGGTGCTTTTTAGAGTTGAGGGACAATTTTGGTGCTAAAGTGAAAAGTTGAGGGACCAAGATGGTGCTTTAACCAAATCTAAATCTAAAATACAAATGGCTAGCCTCCTAGCTCATCACTCCCATTGGTTTCCCATGTCTTGGGTCTCACTACCTGAAATGATGGATAAGGAAAAACTATGTGAGATAACTTAATAAGTAAAAATATGAATAGCCCCCACTGAAATTTTAAAGCATGCCATGTAAACATTTAAAATTTAAATAGAAAGAAAATCTTAGTTATAAATAATTTATGCATATTGAAATTTATTTAGTGATCCCCTTAATTAGTCATGGCCAGTGTACTTTCCCAATTGACTGGATAACAAAAATGCTAGTGTACTCTCCCACTGGCTAGATAGCAAAAATACTAGTGTACTATCCTACTAACAGGATGAATCGGTCCTACAGAAATACATGTCAACATGTGCCAGCGTTTATAACTTCCACTAGTAGGATAATAAAATTCATGACCATATTGGAGACAAAACCATGAAGGCATGCTCAACTCAATAAAATAATAACAGTTTCATTTCAGACCAATCATACTCATGTGCTAATGAAAATCGAGTTAAGTCTCTCCATCATGTCCAAAATCATTCAAATATGCTTTTAAAACCTTTACCTTAAAAATCCATGGGCATTTACTATAATTTTACTTACCTCCCCTTGTCGCGATACAATAAGCAAGAATTCAATTCTCAAGGTAGTGGAGGTGATCTAGAACCTATATCACATCAAAGTACAAACAAGATTACAACTTACCCCATTTAGCTAAATCGATTTCTAATTCCACTATCAAGTTTCTAACCAAAGAAACAATTTCTTCCTACACATACTTACTATTTCTACCCATTGAAACCTTATTAACATATTAATTTATTTAACCATATTTAGAGTATGCTTAAAACAGCTCCAAAAGTCACATACAATAACAGGTATCTCTGGGCAAAACAGCAATTTTTTTTTTTGGTAAAATAGCAACAATTTATGGGTAAAGACAACAAAATTTTATGGGTACAATAGTAGAAGTTTCTGGGCAAAACAACAACAATTTATGGGCAAAAACAGTAGCAAAGTAAGCATGAAAAACAAGAATTCACAACGTAATCAAGCCGTTCATGACAATCAAGTCACTCCCAAGGAAATTCTATAGTTAGAGCGAAGTAGGACAATTAATCTATACTAACAATCGCAAGAAGCATCAAATAGTGCAGCAAACTTAGAAGTAAGAAAAAGCACATAAAAATTCCAAAATCACTTAGAATAACACTATCATAATCTTACAAGAAAATAATGAACAAACACACATAAGATCTTGTGAGATTTCCTATCTTAATCTTTCACATAGCCCTTCTAAAAACCTCTCTCTTGGTAGAATTACACAACCATAATAGTAAAAAGGGATGATTGCTAACTGGCTTCCAAGTGTAAGTTTTAGCCCATCAACCCTAGGCACTTCGAGTGAAACAAGGGTGGCTGGAGATTTCCCAACTTATTAGTCAATATTCACACTATTTCTACTAGAGTTAAAGGAAGGAGATAATTTCCTACTCAATCTTACCAAAATGCTAGCAAGGGGCTATGGGTCTTCCTAGAAATGAAGACTCGAGTTGCGAAGACAGCAGGAAATTGAGGAGGCCGATGATTGCTAGTGGAAAGGAGAGACCCAAGAACTGTTGGAGATGATGCGTAGTTGTTGTGAGGTGAAGACAACGGTTTGCGACTTAGGGAGTTTGGAAATGCGAAAGAGAATGGTTTGAAGAGGTGAGATTGGTGATGAAAGATGATAAAGAGTAGAAATTGGAGATTGAAATCAGAGAATGGTCATGGTTGCTGTTAAAACTAGGGTTCCCAAAAAGAGAAGGATTGGGAGTTTATACTCCTTTCCTCCCCCCCCCGTCCTTTTTGTGTGGCTCCCCCCTTAGGTTTTTAAATTTGGTCATCAAGCCCAACAAATGATAATTTCTCCCACATAAGTCCTTAACTTAAATTTTAATGTTTTAGAATTTTGGGATATTACATCCACCCCTCCTAAAAAGGTGTGTGGCTCCCCCCTTAGGTTTTTAAATTTGGTCATCAAGCCCAACAAATGATAATTTCTCCCACATAAGTCCTTAACTTAAATTTTAATGTTGTAGAAATTTTGAGATATTATAGTTTTGGTTTTGAGCCATATAAATAGGAAAAGGTTTTGGGTTCCGAGGGTGGGTTAGGAGAGTTTGAAGGAAGAGAGAGTAATGGTTAGAGGGAGAATTGTCGAGCCTTCTTGAAGAGTGGCTAGGTAGAATTCAAAGGAGGTCCATTTTTGGGTGTTCTTCGTTGTTAGGTATAGCTCTGAAATAGAGGATTTGTTTTAGGAAAATGGTGAAGGATATGATGGGAGCTTGATCCCATGGGTGGGATCCTTCCCATCAAATCTAGACCCATTTTCTTCTAAAACTTCGTTGTGTTTGTTTCCTTTTATATTTTGGTTGATGTTTTGTTCTTTTTAGATATGAAGTTAAACTTGTACATGTCTTCCTGGAAAATGAATGAAAAATTCAAGGATTGTTCAGTTTATGTGCTTGATGAATGTGCCTTTTGCTAGAAACAAGAAGAACCCTAAATCCATATTTCGTTTGTTTGATGTTTGATCTGTTTCTTTTATATTTTTGCTAGGTAGTCTATGTTTTTGGGCCAGGTAGATCTAGTCTAATCTAGTGAAAAAAAGCTAAAAAAAAAAAAACTAAAGCGAGTAAAGGAATAAAATAAAGCATATAAACAAATTGATTAGGATAATTAGTTTAATCTATGATTAACAAAATTAATTAACTTTAATTAAAATAAGTTAATCATGTTTATTGGTCTTAAATTGAGATAATTAGATTTATTTAGTTATCTTCATTAAAGGTTAATAAATGTGATTAATTAATTTTAATTAATTTTAAATATTATTAAATTAATCATTCAATTAAACTAATTATCATAATTAACTTATTTCAATCCTCTACTCTCTTTAATCTTAGTCAAAGTCCAAAATTATCTCTCTTTATTTTCAATTTCACCCAAAACTTTCATGATTAAGAAATTTAGACCAGCAATTTAAAGATCTTTGCAAATCAATCGCTCATGTTTAGGATTTAATAAAATCAGTCCATTTAACTTTTTATTTATGGTTGTTGTGCATGCATGTTCTTGATTTTGTCCATTTTAGTCCAAAAGTTTAAAATGTTGCAAGTTGGTCCATCCATTTTTCAAGCTTGCTTATTAAGACCTAAATATAAATATAATAAATAAGTTGAAACAAAGCCCCAATGTTAAAGTATGCAACTGTGTTTAAACAAAGGATTGTGAGGTGCTCGTATGCCCTTTCTCGCTCCTAACTGAACCCCCGAACCCCTGAATCCCGATCTCTACGCAGACCTGTTTTTAGGTGACTTATCCTACCTTATAATTTGGATGAATGGTGACTCCTTTTTATATTTTTCACCCTTAATTTTTCATTATTTTGCTTTCTTCTTTTTTTTTTTTCTTAATTTTGAAATCTTAAGTGATCGTCAACAGATTAGCGACTCTACTAGGGATTGAACCCAAAATCTCTAGTTTCCATATTCTAGGTTCACAAGGGTCAAACTAATACTTTAACATTGGGGAATTTTTCAGCTTTTGATTTTCTTTATTTGTTGAGTCCTTGTGTGTCTCTGTCACTTATTTGCATGTGTGTGTTGCATGTTGCTTGTTTGCTTGTTGCTTCAGTGATTGCTTTGACTATTTTTGCCTTGGAATGATGATCTTGCTACATCTTCACATGCATCATACCTTGCTCATATGTTCATGCATCATATCATCTCACATGCTCATCCATCATTGATGTTACATGCTTATTCATCATGCATCATGCTTACATGCCTACTTGCTTGTGTGTGGATGTACTAACCTTTTGCATATGGCATGGGAGTACTAGGTGAGTCTCTTCCTGTTGTGTAAGTAGGTTTACTTATGGATGCCATATTTGTTGGGTGCTTACATGCTTTATTTATTTATTTGCTTTACCTACTTGCCATGGAATATGTATTACTATTTTTGTGGTTGTCATTATGCAGGTTATTGGAGTGACATGCCCCTTTGCACACACTCACTGTCATTTTTACATTAAGTCCGTGTTTGAGGTGAACCCGACCTCTAGTCTGGAATCCTTATGAATCTACCTTGGAAGAGCAATTCTTCCCACTTGGAAGAGTAAGATCAGTTCCTGTTAGGTTGTTGCCATCAATTAATACAACATTTGATGATGTAATATCATCCTATGTATTAGCCTTTGGAAATATCTCCTGTTGATTCCGAAAGAATAAATGGTTGAGAAAGCCTAATGCCCTTTAGGAAAACATGTAATGGCCCACATGTAGTGGCCTTAAAGAGATACTAGCCTTAGGACATGTTTTCCTTAACATCCCACTCGTGAGGTTAGGCGTCCCGTGTTCAGGACACAAAAGAGGCATTTTACTTTACTAACACTTGTTTACGCATATGACAACTTATCTTTATATACTTAATGAGGTATGGCATGTGAGGGTATAATTTGTGTTTAACTTCTTTAAGCTTTTTGTTTAGGTAAGATTGTGCATTTGACATAAATTTTACCGAGGATACAACTAGACAAGGAAATAGGCTTGGGGAGGATCTTACATCTCATTCTATTGCTAAGAGGCTAGGGAGTCAATCTT